ACAACTTAATCCAAAAAATTTTGATTGATTGATAAGAAATATAAAAAAAATTAACAAAAAATATGCTCATATCTTGTCTTGCCATTTTCAAAATAAAGGTGATAAATATTATGACAATCGTTATACATATTTGATGACAAGCCAGATTAACATAAAATTATTTGTCAGGCTTTCAGTCATTAGAGATACAAAATGTGGAGATAAGACTCGCAGACATGTGGTGTGGAATTCATTAACAAATTAATGAGGAGGATGAAGAAGAAAACGAAAAGCAAGCTACATAATGGAAATGGCTAAAAGGTTGGTTAGGAAGAAGTAAGGTGGGTAATAGAGATGGCTAAGAGGTTGTCTGAGATTTTTTTTGTTGAAGGAAATTCAAATTCCAGGGCTACTGCTTTTTTGTTTGTTCGGCCTTTTAATATGCCAAGCAATTTATTGCCAGAAATTCCAAAATGAAGTGTTAAATTTAAAATAATTTCCAAAAAATCCAAATAAGGCGTTGAAAATTTTATAAAATATTCAAATTGGAAATAAATAACAAATTGAAATATATTTTTTTCTTAACGCAAACACCTGCTTTTTTAATATGGGTCGGCTTAATGGCATCATGCCATTTAAAAATATGCGTGTGTGCAAAACCGCCTGGCCTGATGAACTTGAACTTCATTCCCTCCAAATTTGTAAAACATAAATCTTGTTGTTGTTTTTTTCGTCTGCTTCAGCTTCTTCTTTGCCTTGATGAAGTTGCAGCGATTATGTTTTAAATAAGATTATATTTTTTTAAAATATTATAATTTAAATGGTTTTCGTGGAGGGGGGATTTTGTAATTTATTAATGCATGCTTGCGGCCGGCTGGCGTTTTTTGATATTCAAGGAATTTATCAAAGATATTCGAAGAAGAAACTGGTTACAATAAATTGGCATATTGATAAAGTTGTGATAAGGTCTTGCGGATGAATATATTTTTGGGTTTCAATATCGAGGGGAGGGGGAATTTCGTGAAATTTATCTTAAAAGTGTAGTAGAAATGTGTGTTAAGGCCGTATCATTGAAAAGAAGGTTTGTTTTTGGTTTCATTAATAAGAATATTTGAATAACTATGCATTTAAAAAATATTTATTAATAATAATATTTTTTCATTAATAAATTTTGGCAAATATTGCATAGATTTTATTTTTGAAAGAATTTTTTATAAAAGTTATATAAAAAATCACAAAAATTAGAAAGTCTTTTAAATCAAATGTTAAGTTTTTTTTTTACAAAATTGATATAAAAATGAAAAAAATATATTTTTCAACAAAAACTACGATTTTTTTTAATTTTTTATAAAATGGATATATATCTGTGAAAATAAATTTTAAATTTAATTTTTTTTTCTAATTTTTGTGTTTTTTTTTAATTTGTATAACATTTTGAACGAATTATATTGATATTCCCTCTTAATAGATCAAAAAACTTAAGAAACAAACCTTTTTACTCTGTGAAACTGTGATACTTTTCTTCTAACTAGCAATTCTCTTTACTCTCTCTATCTCTCCCTTTCTCTATCGCCTTTAAAAGGGCTTTAATTTTTCAATTTTGTAAAATTAAATTATTTTTTGTGGTTTTTTAATTATTTTTTAATTAAAAATTACATTTTTAATGAATTGTAGTGAAATTCCTTCTAAATAGATCAAAAGACTTAGGAAACAAACCTTCTTACTCTGTAAATGCGTGAAATTCTTTTTCTAACTAACAACTCTCTCCTATCTCTCTCTCTCTCTCTCGCCTTTCCAAAGGGCTTTTAAAAAGGGGCTTTTATTATTCAATGAATGTATTTTAAAATTAAATTAAATATTTTTTTTAATAATTTTTAATCAACGAAAGAATTAAAAATATGTTTTTTAATTATTTATTATCTGGAAAAATACTTTTAAATTTATTTAATTTTGAAAAATCGACATTAATTATTGAAAATAAATTTTAAATTTAATTTTTTAAAATTTCTGTGATTTTTTATTATGTTTTTATTTAAAATCACATTTTTAAATAGATCAAAAGACGTAAGAAACAAACAATCTTACTCTGTGAATGCGTGAAACTCTTTATCTAACTAGCAACTCTCTTTTCTCTTTAACTCTCTTTTATTGATTAAGGCCTTTTTATTGCCCCAACCTTTTGTAATGAACAAACGACTTAAGAAACGAACACCACAACTCAGTGAGTAAATGGGTAATGATATCTTGTCTCAATTTAATTTTTCTTGCTCTCTTTCTAATATGGCTTGTGTAAAATTCACCTTTAAAGGGACAAAAGACTTAAGACACGAACATTAGAACTCAGTTATGAAACTAAATGAGAGAGAAAGAGTATTTTACATTATTTTCTCTTTTTTTTAATATTTAATGGGAAAGTGCCTTTTAAATGCGAAATGAACCCTTGAAAATATATATTTAAAAATAAAAAAATGGAAATCTGATAAAAAATATTTAAATGAAAAAATAAAAATAATTGAAATTCTAAAATATTGAATTATAAAAAAATATAAATGGATATATTATAGAATATATTAAAATAAAAAAAAAAACAATTTACATTTCTAAAATGCCAAAATTAAATACATTTTCAAACAGAAAATTTTCTTAAAAAAATTATTAAAATTTTGGAAGGGAAAATATACTTAAAAAATGATTAATTTTTTTAATAATTATTATTTTTTTAATAATTATTAACTTATTACTGATTATTGGCATTTTTTTACTAATTATTAACATATTTTCAATAAAATTAAATTTTTTTAGTATATTTTTCCAAATTCATTATTTCGAAATACTGAATAAAATTCACCAAAAAAATAAAATAAATTAATAATCGTATGCCACCTCCACTATGTCACAAAAAAATTATGATTTATTTCCCTCCGACACCTTGGAAGAAAAATATATTTTATATTTATTGCTGTTTCCTTGATGTATTGACTTCATTCATATCCAAAAAAAAAAAAAAAAAACACACACACAAATACCACTCACTTTTCAATTGGGTTTAATGTGTCAATTATAAATCAAAATTTAATCAAAAATAAGAGACTGATCTGATATTGCCTTTCTACAATTTCTTCTTCTTTGCCAAACATTTTTCTAAAAAGTCATTCTTTTTTGTTTATGGTTTTTGCCATTGTTTGCTACATTAACTTTATGGTAAGTAAAACCATTATAAATTATGATGGCGTCTAAGGTTGTCTATTGTTATGCGAATGCATTTCATTCATTCATTTAATTTGTTATTTGGCCATTATGGCCAAATTAGATAATCGTGACTTTTGCAAAAGAAGTATAACTTGGCTATGAATTGAAATTGGGCGTAATTTAGTTGCTTAATATTTGTTACTTCTATGTTTGAGCAACAAGTTAAATTTGTGGCTATTTAAGGAAATTGCCCAAGGTAATTCATTTAGATTTGGTAATTTAATGTGGGGCACAAGGAATGATGGACAATGGCTTAGAAAAACCAATGGAGAGCAGGTCCATATTCAAAGACCTAAAGAAAAGGTATTTGAAGAGCTAAAAAATCAATGACTAATGTGGATTTTAGGGAAGTTAAGGAGAAGAGTTTTAAATTATTTAATTTATTTTAAGCCTTTTGTGGATCATTTAAATTTTTTGATATTTTTTGAAAAAAAGGGCTAAAAAAGTTGATAACTAATGTATATTTATAGAAAATTTTGGGAGAATAGCTTGAAAATAGTTTTATTTAATTATTTTTTACCTAATTTTTTACTGATCATTTTAATTTTTTGAAATTTGTTGAAAAAACCCTAAAAATTATTTTCTATATTTTTTTTTCAATTGCATTTTTAAATTTTATTTTATATTTTTGAATTAAATAATTTATTTTTCCCTGCTTTTTTAAAGGGCTAAAAAATCAATAACTAATTTAGATTTAGAGAAAGTTTTGGGAGAATATATTGACAATAATTTTATTTAATTATTTTTTGCCTAATTTTTTGCGGATCATCTAAATTTTTTGATATTTGTTGAAAAAAAAACTTTAAGAATTATTTTTTATATTTTTTTAAATTTTATCAAAAAAATCAATAACTAATTTGTATTTAGAGAAAGTTTTGGGAGAATATATTGAAAATAATTTTATTTAATTATTTTTGTTTAATTTTTTGTGCATTATTTCAATTTTTTGTATTTTTTTTAATTTAAAAAAAATATATTTTTTTAATTTCATGGATTTTTTTATTTTACGTTTTTGAATTAAAGAATTTATTATTTTCCTACTCTTGAATACTTTAAATATTTTTTAAAAATTCATATTTCCCCCATTTTTATTCAAACAAATTTTTAACAAAGGAAAGTAAGTGAATTTAACAAAAGACTTAAGCCACAAGCACCACAATGACAATTTACATTTATTCTAACGGTTATAATTCCATTACTCTTACTTTCTCTCTCACCCTATCTCAAACGAGCACTATGCTCTATCATCAAAGAGAAAATAGAGGAAATTGATGAAAGACTTAAGACACAAGCACCATAATGGCAAGGGATACCAAATACTCTAACGGTTCTCTCTTCTCTTGTCCCATAACTCATTATCGAAGAGAATCAAAGGAAAATTGTACTAAAGACTTAAGACACAAGCACAACCAATTGCAAGGGGGTTTAATTACTTTCACTCTCACTCTCTCTCTGAATGCCATTACTCTTTTCCTTACACTTGCTCAGAGCAATATGAGCACCGTAACTAATCATGGAACAAAAGACTTAAGGCACAAACTTTTTGAGGGAAGGTGAAACACCACTAAAGTTCTTGCTTAATTTTGAAAACAAAAACTTTGCAGGCGATGAAATTCACACATTTTCAAGACAATTTTAGATTTTTTCTTTTTTGATTTTTTTTTTGATATTTCACAATTATTTCCATGTCCTTTTGCAACTGTTCATATATTGCACAAATATTTTTATTTTAATTTTTTTTAATAAATTTTAAAATATATTTTATTCAATACCTTCATTGTTGTATATTCAAAGCTTGGGTTTTTAAGGATCACACACAAAAAGGAGTTTTAAAGTGTTTTAGTTTTTTTTTGGTTTGTTGTTTTGGACTTCTTGTGAAGAAGGTTGAATGGGATTTGATACTGTAACAATTTTGTAGGCTGCTATTTATATTTGAATCGAGTAAACTGATGTTAGGAAAACAACACCAAAAACCGAAACATTTGCAGAAACAGAAAAACAACAACAACATCATCATTGGCGGCGTCATCGTCATCAGAGAAGATGAACGTACTTATTACGTATACACTTATGTTGGCACAGACACAAACACACACACACTCTCTCACAACTGCCATGGCAAAACACTCAACATCATGGCAAGCACCACAGCATAAGAAGAAGAAACCATCACAAGTTTTTTTTTTTTGTGTTCAAGTATTTGTTTTTGTTTTGGTTTGACGAAACAATAAACTCCACAGCAACAACAACAACAACTAATGGTACCCAAAAAATCTTAATGAACAAAAATTCGCGCCAAATTCAAACAAATTCCGTTGTGCTACACTTGCCCAGAGAACATCAAATTCACTATTGAAAATGCTCAATGTGGAAGACGACAACAGCAACAACAACAATAACGTTCATAGGCAAATCTCTAACTCTTGCTGCACTTTGCTCACAATAATGTTGATGCCCTGGGAGCAACATTGATGGGTTTTTCGGAGCTAAATGTTTTTAGTTGAGTGTTTGCCTTTGCAGAGGATGGGTTGAATGAATAAGAGCCCTTTTCAAAACTTAAATAAATTTTTGTTTTGGAAGAATGTCGGAAAATTTAAGGTACATTTTTGAAGAGGAACCTTTAAATACCCACATCATTTAATGATCAGACGATCTTCAGAGGGTCTAGTAGATATAAGGAATATCTGTGAAACTTAAAAGAACTCTGAAAGGATTTTAGATCCTCAAGGCCTATGAAGATCTAGAGTGTTCCTTGCGATAAGAAAGCCTCTAGTAGGACTTCTGTGACTGGAAGGCCCTTTAGAAGTTCTACTGTGACTTGAAGGTCCTTAGAAGGTCTTATCTCATTAAATTTTCTTAAAAAGTTCTTCTGTATAAAAAATGTTTTAGATATTTTTTTGTCTTTAGAGACCTTTAAGAAACCCTTTTTTGACTAGAAACCTGAAAAAGGTCGACCATGACTAGAAGAGCTCTATGAAATTTTCCACATCAACTGATCCTCCATTAGTTCTACCATATCTAAAACCCCTCCAGATGACCTTCTGTGACACAGAGATACTTAGGGTGATTTTTAGTTCAAATTTAACTGGAAGACCTCTTCCGATACCAAAAGATCTATTTATGGACTAGAAGACCTGAATAAAGTTTTTTTGTCGGGGCTGGAAGACCTCTACAAAATGTTCTACCTTTATCTCCCATCCAAAAGACCCTCCATGACTTGGAGATCCTTGGAGAGCCTTCTCTATCTAGTAGCCCTCTAAAAGGTCATCTGGGCTAGAAGAATTTTAAAAGGTCTTAAGAGTCAAAAAAACCTGTACAAGACCTTATAGGTCTAAAAGAGTTTATACGTAGTCTAGAGGACTTTAAAAGTTCCCTTGGAGGGTCTTGCAGTCTTAATGAAATCTCTACTGGGAATAGAAGAAACTATCTTTTCACAATTTATTTAGGCCCTCGCACACTCATGTCGCCTCTAACTAGAAAACTTCTTCTGTGAAGAGAAGCCGTTTACAAGACTTCTAAAAAAATCTACAAGGTCTTCAAGATCTAAAAGACCTCCAGAAGTTCTTCCAGATGTTCTGTAGTGTCATTCCTAGGTCCCAAGGCCTCTAAATACTCTTTTTTGCCTCAAGAAACTCTTGAAGCTTCTCCATGTTAAAAAGACCTCTGGAAGGTCTTCTGGGACTTAAATATTTTAGGGGGCATTCTAGCCTGGAGTCATCGACAAGATCTGCTCTAGAATACCTCGAGGTCTTCTAGATTCCCTAAAACAGACGAAACAGATTGTCTGAAAAACATCTATAACGTCTTCTATGTCCCTAAGACGAAGACGGAGAGGACTTTTATATATAAAATACCTCTAGAGGGTCTTTAGGGTCTTGCAGGCACCTTGAATAACCTTAAGGTCTAAAAGACCTCTACAGGATATGTTATGCCCAAAACACGTCTAGAAGATCTTCCAGGTCTAAAATGTCTCTGGATAGCCTTACATATCAAGAAGAGCTGTAAAAAGCCTTTTTGTGTCTATGTCTAACGGGTCTCCATAATTCTCTCTTTGTATCAAGATGATCTTTAATATCCAATAGGCCACCAGAAGAGACTGAAAAACTCCTAAACGAACTTTTACATCTCGAAAATATCCCAAAATGACTTATTATGGCAGATCTCCAACTTCCATTTTTTCCCAGCAGTCGTCTAAAAATCTACCTTTTCAAGAAGTGTCTTAAAAGGTATTCTATGCCTCGAAAATCTTTCGCAGATTTCCCTGTCGTGGGTCCCTTTTTCCTTCGTTTCTCCAACTATTTACCTATATTTTTCCGTTCATTTTTCCAACTGAACCTCGAAAAAATCATCCTTTCAAGAAAACTCCTAAACGGTTACACAGCCTTTTATTTATTCTCTCAAGAGCACCTCGTTGTTCAGAGGTTGCTACTTGTCTGAGGGACTCGTAAATGGTATTTAACGTCTATAAGATATGCCAAAATACTCTCTATGGTCGGTCTTCCCCTTTCGTTTTTCTCCAACGGCCGTCTAAAAATCTCCCGTTCCAGAAGTCTCTTATAAGGTCTTCCATGCCTCCAATATGTTATGAAGATTTTCCTGTTGTAGGTCTCTTCTTCCTTAATTTATCCAATTATTTTCCTGTATTTTTTCGTTTATTTTTCCAACTGAACCTCGTAAAAGTCTTCCTTTCAAGGGTACTAGAAGTTCGGCTTTTTATGCCTTTTTTGTCTAAAGTGCACCTCGTAAAAACCCCTTTCTCATGAGGACCCCTAAATGTCCTTCAATATCGCGAAAATCTCTCATAAGTTTACTTTTGTCAGATCTCCTTTCATTTTCTCCCACACAATTCCTTAAATATTTCCCCTCATTTTCTTAACTACACCTCGTAAAAATCTCCCTTTCAAGAAGCTTACTCACACACATGCATGCATCCATTCATCCATCCAAAAAATCAAAAAGAAAAACCAAAACAAAAAACTAATCCGCAACTTAATAAAACAAATGAGCAATGCGGGAGTAATTTAAACATCACTATAACATAAAACATGTGTACCAACATCATTGTTGTTGGCTACCAATTTGGAGTTGTTGGTTTGTTTGTTTGTTTATACAACAAACACAATAACACTAACAGCAACAATACTACAATACAAGCAACTCCACTGGATGATGGGTTTTATGGATGCCATTGGCTGGCTGGCTGGTGGTGTTGTGGCTGCTTGCTGACAATGATGCTGGTGCTCTCATTACTTTTAGTACTCGGAGAGTGTATATGTGTGTGTGCAATAACCGTTGTTGAGGTATTGTCTCAATGAGGGCCCAACGGCTCTTTGATGCCTTTCGAAAAAACAACACTTTTGATGGCAATTGTTCTTACAACCGGGTTGTAACACCTTCCCTCTCTCTCTCTCTCTCTCCCTCTCTCTCGCCCTATGGGGATTTTAAGATTCCCTTTCTTTTTTGTTTTTGTTATTTTTCTTCTACATCAAATTAATAATTCTCACCTTTGTTGTGGAGAGGTTAACAGCCAATATGGTGTGTGTGTTGTGCGTGGGAGTTATATTGAGAGAGTAAGAATTATGCCGCTATTGAGCAAAAATCCAACCCGTTGTGGGTGAGAGGAATTAGTTCACCACACAAAACAAAAAAATGAATGGTTAATTGTTGTTGCTGCCAGCACTTTTGCTTTCATGTGTTTTCATAGGTGTGTGTGTGTATGCGTGACTCTGATGATGCCAAACAATAAATGTTTTCTTGTTTCAAGAGCATGTTTTTTTTCGGGTTGTATTTTTGAAAGCGAAAGGAGAGTCTGTTTGCGGTTCTCTCCATCAATGGTGTTTTTAATGCTGTGAATGGTATGCGCTGCGCCTGGGGAATACCACTTCGGTGAAGAACAATCATGGCACGCATCTTCATTCATTGGCCGTCCATTAAACGGAAGAAACATTTGACGGATGTATGGCGAGAATGACGAAATTGGAGGATATTTCGACGTTATTTAAAAGAAATACGTGTTTGTGCTTAAAGTCTTTTGATTTTTTTGTAGTGGAATTAAATCTAAAAATGTGAATTAAAGGATAACAAATATTTAAAAAATATATAAAAAATTAAAAAAATTGAAATCAGCAAAGGAAATAAAATTTATTTTTTAGGAAAAAAATAACGTTTTCCAGTATTAGAAAAAAAGTCGGAAAATAGTTATTTTTAGGTCTCCAATAATTTAAGCATATTTTTGGAAATTATTTTGGTAATTTTAAAAGAAAAAAGTTATTAAAAAAATTAAAAGTAAAACTGCAATAAATTGACATTTTGAGAGATAAAAAAAAAATAAATGATAAAATCTCAATTCAACACCAGAATATTTTAAAGATTTTTGCTAGGAACCAATAACTTCGAAATTAAAAAATTCTAAAAATGCGCCTGGCTATAAAAAAAAATTAATTATATAAATAAATTATTTAATAATTTTTTAGCATAAAAAAATAAATGTGTGGCCCAGAAAAAATATTGAAAATAAACGCAAATTTATAAAAATAGGACATGTGTCAATCTAGGAATAAAATTAATTTTTTTAAGTTAACTCAACACAAAAACAATTTAATCCAAACACCATGAATATTGAAAAAAAAATATCAAAAATTGTTAAAAGAACTAAGGCACAAGGGATCTTAATTCTCTCACACATGCAGAAATAATAGACTTTGAAAAAAAGTTAAAAATTAGGACAAATAACAAACAAAATAAAATGAATGATTTTAGGTTAACTAAACACCGCAATAATTTAAAGATTTGCTTTGGGAAACAATAAATTCGGAATTTAAATTTAATAATAAATTTTTACAAAAAAAAAAAATAAATAAATAATTAAATTTGTAGCCTACAAA